AAAAATAAATTTTCCCTGAATCCCCTATATGCCTAGTTTCAGATTTACTCACACCTAACTGCTTCTTCCTGAACAATGTTCCTCAGAATTGGCATGGCTCACTCTCCATTTTGCATACCATCCTCTACCTACCTACTCCAGTCATACCCTGCTCATCAACTTACTGAATCTGCTCTTTACCAAATCCAATGGAAATTACCAATTTGCCTTCCTCTGCCTCCCACCCATGTTCCACAATGCTGCTTACTCCCTTCTGCTTGAAATACATTTTTTCCAGGACAACACACTCTTTTATTCCTTCGTTCTTACAGATCACCCCTAAGTCCTTCTCTTCCTGAACTCTAAATGAGTGATATCATACAATCCTATATGCTAACAACTCCCAAGTATGTATCTCCCCAGAACTTTAAAATCACATACCCAATGGCCTACTCAATATCTCTTGGGTTTCTATCAGGGATCTCAAGCACAATGTGTCCCAAATAAAGCTCTGGATTTCTGCACACACATCTAAGCCTCAGTTACCCCTTGGTATCTGGTATTACTTTCCCTTGGATGTTCAGGTTCAAGTCTAAGGGTTATCCTTCATTCCACTCTATCTTTCACACCCTGTAACTCAATCCACTAGAGAGTCCAGTCAGCAGCATTTTCCAAATAAATCCATATCTCATCAGTTCTTTTATTTCTCCACTGTTACAACCCTAAACAAATTGGCCTTCTCTGGGCTCCTCCTTCCACTCTTCCAACTATCCTTCATTTCTTTCCTTATCAGTTTCATTCTCTACAACGTAGAGTAAATTTCAAACACACAAACATACATCTGATCATATCAGTTCTCTAATTCAAAAGCTTCCCCTGTGATTGGAAAAAAATCCAAACTCTATAACCCTGGCCTCTGATATGCTCTCAACCGGGACAACTCTGAACTCACCTAATATTTCTGAATCTCATTCACTCTAAGACAAAAACCTTCTCTGTTGTTCCTCAAATTGCCAAATTCATTCCATCTCAGGGACTCTGTAGATGTGTTATTCCTGCTTGGAGTACCTTCATCCCTGAATTTTTATACAGTTGTGTTTTCTTCATCAGTTTAAGTACAATGCTCTAAAAGAAGTTTTCTTTGACCTCCATAGCAGAAATGATTGCATCTAACCCTGACACTCCATTATACCTCTTGTTTTATTTCTTTCAAAGTACTTAGAATTTTAAGATATCATTATATATGTCCAAATATAAGAAAAGGTTTTTTTCTTAAATTATCTCCACATAAAGACAAAATTAAGAAAGTTTTCAAGTTCTTGTTAATTTATCATAGGAGTTCACTACTTTAAAAAATTAAAATTAATTAAAAGCAATGCTAGCTTAAATACTTGTAAAAATCACCATGTGGAAATTAGTGTTAAAGATAAAAGAAGATAATACTTAACAATGTTTTTTAAATTTTTTTCACTGGTGTAACTTCACAATTGAATCGCTTGGATATCACTATAAATATATTGGAAAGATCACAAATATATCCCTAGAGAACAAATTATTTGAAAATCCTAATGTTAAAAAAATATATCATGCACAGATTCAAAAAGACTTAAAAAAGAAATAAAACTGTAGATGAATGGAAAATTTTGACAAATAATCAGAAAAGTGACACCAGTTATGTTAAAATCAATGGTGAAAAGACGGATATACAGTTGCATATAATTATTTCAGGAAATATAAACAGAAACTAGCAACACTGCTGAAATATATATAATATATAAGATAGCTTAACTTGTATATGCAAAACTGAATTAACAAATACTTTTACCTACCATTTGTGTCTACTATTCATGTTTGTAATTATATATTTAAATTGACCAAAA